CCCCCAGCTGCACAAGTGGGATACTGGGGAGAGAAGCCCACAGGCCAATGGCACCTGTCATGGGGCAGTAGCTTTGGGTTCTTAGTTCCTGCCCTTGCAAAATGGGTCAGAGGAGACCTGCACCTTGGGTGGCTCTGTGCTCAGTGCTCAGGCTTAGGATCTCTGTTGGGAGGTCAGGAGGGACACACAGCAGCACCAGGAGTTCCAGGTACCAGCCCTAGCTGGCAGTGCCAGGTGGTCTGACACAGGGAGGGGCCTGGAGGAGTCACCACCCAGTTGCTGCTACCTATATCACTCAACACCTGAAATGCCACCACGGGTGACCCCATCCCCAAGCCATGACCTGTCCCCAACTCTCCAGCTCTAGCCATGTCCCTGTCCTACCTGAATATTCTTTACTAGACATTTCATCTTTAAGTAAACTCATTTCTTCTTCTTCTTTTTTTTTTTTTTTTTCTAAATTTTTGAGACAGGGTCTCGCTATGATGTTCAGGCTGGCCTTGAGCTCACTTTGTAGCCAAGGCTGACCTGGAACTCACAATGATCCTCCTGCCTCAGCCTCCTGAGTGCTGGGATTACTGGCGTGTGCCACCATGCCTGGCTAAAACTGATGCTTTGTTGACAGTTGCTAAGCCTCCCAAAAGATCGGTAGGTTAGAGAACAGTACAGTGTCATTGTTAATTTCCTGATTTTGATAACTGTGCTGTGGTTGAGAAAAAACCACAGCATGGGATTCTCTTGGAGAATCCCATCAATTTTAAGATCTGCATACTCAATGTTCATGGTAAATGGTGTTATAACTGCAACTCAGTAGTAAGTGGTTTGGATATGGGTAAAATATGTAAAACGTATTTAATATATACAGAAAATGTAAAATATAAGCACATAAAAATAAAGAGAGACAAAAAAGAGAAAAAGAGGCAGGAAGCAGAGGGAGAAGGGAAGAGGGAAGGAGAGAAGGAGGAAAGGAAAAAGAAGGAAGGAAAACAGGGACGGGGGTGCAGATATAGCCACATATTGCAGTTTGGGGGATCCAGGTGATGTGGAGGAAGGGTTGCAGTGTTTCTGTACATCTGAAGTTATGTCAATAAAACCCACCTAAGAGGTTTAGGGTTGCTCATCCTGTCTGTCTGATGGTGAGAAACTGCCCCTGCATAGAGGATGCCCCCACTTCCCTCATGCCCGGGAAGCCAGGGAGCCCTGTACCCCATGTGCACGGACATGCAGTGGCCATTGTTATAGACTCAGACTGGGTCTTCATGTGGTCTGGATTTTCTTTCTTTCTTTTTTTGGACCGGGAATCGATCTCATGACCCTGCGCTTCCCAGGCAGGCGCTTGTGCTGCTGAGCTATATCCCTGGCTTGGATTTTCTTTTGCTACCGTTGAGGCCCTGCGCATCTTTCTCCGTGTGCTGCCATCTGATTTTTTCTTTGGTATCAACCGGGAAGCAAAGAGCACTTGGGACCAGGCTGGGCCCTTACGCAGGGCCAAGGCTGCTGGTGTCGAAGCCGCCGAGAGAAGGTGCCTAAGGAGAAGGGAGGGCAGCTGCCGAAGTGCTGAGCAGGCCAGAAGGACAGCAGACCAGTGACTGCTGGGTTTGGTGGCACGGAGGTCATAGCTTTAGAGGGGTATCAGGATGGAAGCCTAATTGAGTGGGTGGAGGGGATGATGGGAGGTGACATTTGAGGAGACAGCTCATCCTACGAACTCCTCCAGGAAGTCTGCTGAGAAGCCAGCAGAGAAACGGGGCAGGAGCTGCAGGGGTGGTGCTCCTGGTGTTTGCTTACGGGCATGACTCAGAAGAGAGAGACCGAGGCCAGGGAGCAGGGACAGCAGGGGGCACAAATCCTTTGAAGGGGGCAACCTTGGCATGCACACATACTCCTGGAATCTGGTAAATCGAGGCTGAACATCCCACCGTACGAGGGATTATCTGTGAGGAATTGTCTGACTACTGCACAGCCGGCCCCTTGATATCTGCACCTCCTGCAGCTGGAGTCACTGTGTCACCTCCATCAGCTCGCCCCATTTTACTTTGCTGAAACACCTGTCATTCACTTGTTGGCTACCGCCCAGTCCCTCACCAGATCGCCCCACAACACTGGGGACCCTGTCTGCTCACCAGGCACCTCTAGTGTCTAGAACAGTGCCCACTTGTTGGTTTGGGGTTCAACTATGTAGCTTATCTTTTTTTTTCCCTGAGTTATTACTCTTATTTATGTGGGAAGACTCCTTGTTTATTAAAGATACTTTCACATCTTTGGGGGTAAATGGTGCAAATTTTCAGCCATAATCTAGGAATGTGAACAGCAAGAGGCCATTAATGGACATTTTGGGATGGTCAGGGTCACAGGTGGCACTAGAGGGAGGGGCCCTTTCCCCTCCCGGGAACGCGGAGGAGCTTGGACTCCCGGGTCCTTGCCCTGACTTAGCCATGGCATGAGCAGGTGGCTTCTCGGAATGTCTCTTTGCCTGAGCTGAGTCACTTGCAAATTGGGGTTAATGATGTTTGTCTTTGGATCACCAGCTTAGGGTGGTTTTAAACTTTTCAGGGTAGCGTTTGGGGTGGGAGCAGTAGGTATGTAAAAGTTTAGTGAGATCTGTCTCTGCACCAGGGCTGCGAGGATCCTGAGGGAATAAGACATGGTTCTACTCTCGGGAAGCTGAGTCCGGAGAGGGAGAGGCAAGCACACAAGTCACTACAGTAGCCAGAAAAGAATCAAGACGCGCACAGACGTGCCAGAGAACTGAATGCCTGCCTAGAAGGAGGGCAGCGTAGGCTTCCCAAAGGAGATGGCATCTAAATAGGGTTTGAAGGCATGAATAGGAGTTTGTCAGACAGATGGGAGGGTGGGCAAGTCACAGACAAGGGCACTGCCTAGGTAAAGGCTTGGGGACCATTACTTCTTTCCTCTTCCAACTTTGGCCTGGGCCAGCGAGGTCCTGGCAGGGAGGTGGCCGGTGTGTAACTGATTGCAGGACTGCTGAGCCACCTTGGAGAAGCAGCAGCGAGGACAGCACATTCCATCTTCCCTGGCTGCGTGGTGGCTGCTGGGAGTTAAATACTTGAGGCCGGAAGAAGTGCTGTGATTGATTAGCAATGTCTGCCGTGAGTGCTGGAAGGGAGAGAAGGGGCCCGTGTGCTCTCTGCCAGATGGAGAGCCAGGCAGGTAGAGAAGTGTCTTTCATCATTCTGTCCCCAGCCTCGGCCCACAGTATCTGTCACAGTGCCGGGGAAGTCTGTGGAACTGAGTTGTGTGAGACTAACTGCAGCCGTGTCAATTCTGAGTTTCTCCATTAAAATCAGAAAGTGGTTGCTTGGTGTATGAACTCTTGCCTCTTTCCTCCGGTTTTTTTTCTGCAAAGCCAAGCACTGGAGGAAGCTGGGAAATCAGGTTGGCAGCTTTGAGATGACCTGGGCACAGAAGCTAGAAACAGATGGAGGCTTCAAAAGGATCCATTCCAAACCACTCAACATTAATGTAAGAGCAGCTGGGCGTGGTGGCGCCCCCCTATAATCCCAGCACTGGGGAGGCTGAGGCAGGAGGATTGCTGTGAGTTTGAGACCAGCCTGGGCTACAAAGTGAGCTCAAGACCAGCCTGAACTGCATAGCCAGACCCTGTCTCAAAAAGTTACCACCC